GCTGGGAATTGAACACAGGTCCTCTGGAAGAGCAGCCAGTGCTCTCCAGTCATTTGTTCTGTTTTTTTTTGTTTTTTTGTTTTTGTTTTGTTTTTTTTTCGAGACAGAGTTTCTCTGTTTTGGAGGCTGTCGGTCCAGCCTGACCTCAAACTCGCAGAGATCCGCCTGCCTCTGCCTCCCGAGTGCTGGGATTAAAGGCGTGCGCCACCAACGCCCGGCTGGTTTTTTTTTTTTAAATAAAACTTATTGTGTTTTTATTTATGTACATGTGTGTGCATGTCTCTGTGTGTATGTATATGAATATATGTACTCCTGGTCTCTGCAGACACCTGCACACTTGTGTGGTTACCCGCACATAGAGACATACAGACACATAATTAAAAAATAACACAAATCTTTAACAAGAAAAAAGGAACTGATCAAACGACCATGCTGATTCAGCATCTCTGGGCTAACCTCCAGTGGTAGGGGATTTCCAACTGTTACTAATAATCATTATAAGACCAGTTTTGTTTTTTAAAAAATTGGAGAATAAAACTTATTTGACCCAAAATTCTATCAAAAAAACACTGTCCATTCTATCTTTCTATCATAGGAGAATTTTGCTCAAAATTCAATATCAAGGGAGGCAAGATGACTCAGTGAGTTAAGGCACCTACCACTAGGCCTGAAGACCTGAGTTGTATGCCTTGGACCCACGTGGTAGGAGAGAACCAGGTCATGCAAGTTGTTCTCTGACCTCCACATACATGCTGTAGCACACATCCATGCAGCAATAAATAAAATAAATTTTAAAAATAATTAGTACTGAGAATCTAAAACCCACAGATCTCTTTTTTCCCTAATCAATAAAAGTGTGTACCCCATTTCTGTTTTCATATAGACCATCAGAACCCTTCAAAGTCAGCATTAGACTCTATGGAACAACTTGGATGAACATTTGATTTTTAATTTCTTTTCTACAGTGTTTTCCTGGGTTGCTCATATTCCCTTGGTTTCATTGTCTAGACATTTTCTTTTCTGTTGTTGTTGTTAAGCCACAACAACTTCTTTTTAAAAATAACTTTGGGATATAAATAAGGTGCACATTCTATTCAAGTGACGAACAGCAGATGGTTTGAGAATTGGCAGAGCAGAGAAGAGGACTACATGGGGACTATCAACATCCTTTAAGAAAAGTTACACTATTTTCTTGGGCCGCTTTGTTTTGACTGTCAACTTGATACAACCAACAATCACTTGAGAGGAGAGTCTTAAATGAGGAATCTTCTAGATCAGGTTGGCCTGTGGGTGTGCCTGGGGGGAGTGTCTTGATTGTTAATTAATGCAGGAAGACGCAGACCAGTGCGAGAGGGTCCTCCCTAAGTGGTGTAAGAATGGAAAAGGCTAGTTGAGAGCGAGCAAGCAAGGATGTGTTCATGCTCTCTTTGTTCTTGACTATGGATGCGATGCGAATGGTTGCTTGGATCCTTGCCTTGCCTTTCCTGAAATGATGGACTATGTATGATCTGAAACGGAAAGCCAAATGAACTCTCTCCCCAAAGTTGCCTTTTGTCAGCACGTTTTATCACATCAACCAAAATGAAAGTAGGACAAATAACCTGGTCTTTTTGTGTTTTGTTTGATGCTACATTGTTTCTATTTTGGCCCCTGAGAGCTGTTAGAAAGAGAACAGTCTGGTGAAATACATTTCAAGTATGATAGGCTCCCTCTATCTTGTTATCTTTACAAGACAATTATTTAGAGCACCCTGGTCCCTCTAAATTAGTGGTTCTCAACCTTCCTGATGATGTGACCCTTTAATACAGTTCCTCATGTTGTGGAGGCCCCCTCCATAAAATTATTTTGTTGCTACCTCATAACTGTGATTTGGCTCTTGTTATGAATCGCAATATAAACATCTGATATCCAGGATATCTGATATATGACCCCTGTGAAAGGGTCATTCATGCCACTCTCAAAGGAGTTGTGACCCATAGGTTGAGAACCACTCCTGTAAACTGATTAGCTCTGCTTAGCAGGAAAAGAACGTCCTGTTGCTGCAAAACCTCCCTGCACCTTCATCATGTCCAGGCAAAGTGGGCAAGAGGATAAGGATGGGAGTGGGTTGGAGAGTGAGTGGGTGACAGGACTTCAAAGGTTCCATGAAGAATGCCCTAACTAACTGAACACCTCTGACCACTCCCTGTAAGAAGGGCTGCTTTGTTCTAAGTAGTGGAGTGCCTGAGATGAGGCCAGGACATATATACATTTCTGAGAAACGCTTGTTAGAAAGTACCAAAGGTAGATGTGGTCATTCTTTCTATTTTCTGGTCCTTCTTCTGACAGAATATCACAGTTTGTTTCCCTTAAACCACAGCTACATGGATTTGACACAGTAATATTGAGTATGTCCTTACTGAAACTTCATATGTTCCTTACTGAAAACTTAGAAAACAGATACAAGCAAATGTTAGAGACTAATAGTATTTGATGAGGGGGATGAAGCTGAAATACTGACACTTGAGCAGGGAATGAAAAGGACAAATGAGAGTCCAAGACTCCGAGTATGGTCTTATCTGCCTTATAGCCCTCTGGGATATCCTTGATGGTGGGTGTTTTAGATGTGAATGGAAAGGTTAGGCCAGACACAGCTGCTCTGCTGGCATTCTGGGATCACAAAATGGTTGCGGTTGTGGTAGTGCACACCTCTAATCCTAGCACTCAAGAGGCAGAGGCAAGTGGATCTTTGTGAGTTCCAGGCCAGCATGGTCTACATAGTGAGTTCTAGGCTAGCCAAGCCTACATATGGAGATCTTGTCTCAAAAACAAAAAAGAAGGAGGAGGAGGAGAAGAAGAAGGAGAAGAAGAAGAAAAAAGAAAAAAATCACATCATGGTTAAGTGGAAGACAGCAGCTAAGCCTAGTGTTCACTGCATAGTCTAGGATGCCTCAAATTTCTACAAATTCTCCTCAGTCCCTCAAGCACCCAGATTACATCAAGTTTGAATCCCATACCCAGCTTTTTCGTTGCTATTGTTTTGAAGAAGGGTCTTGCTTGCCAGCCCAGGCTGCTCTCAGACTCACAGTCCTACTGCCTCTGACTACTGAGTGCTGGGATTACATGTGTGCCATTTTTGAGTTGACTGATGGAGGTAAATTTCACAGCTTATCTGTGTTTCAGTGCCCCCAGTCTTTAAACTAATATGATATTAACTCTCACAAGTTGATTGAGGCTTTTGTTACCATCTTAACTGTGCTCTAGCCTCCCTCTCCAGCTAATGTCACACGCAACTTGTCTTCTGAGAGCCACATGTCCAGTGTTGCCAACTCAGCAACATCATGATGTCATATGTCATCTGGAATCTCAACCTTGTGATGTCCAAAATGGAGTGAATAATCTCTATATACATCCAACCCTGCCCACCTCCTTCACTGTTGCCTGTCAAGTAGGTAAGACAAACACCGGCTTGCTTATGCTACAGTCAAGAGGTTGACCAGATACCTCTTTCTCCTTTACTCCTGAAGTAAGCAGTTATCAAATCCCTATCTCTTTGATAGGTGTTTTGTTGTTTTGTTTCATTTTGTTAGTTTGAGACAGGGTCTAGCCTTGCCTGTTCTTACGGCCTCCACCTCTCTGGTACCACTATAATCAGTATGTGTTTCTTTACTGCATCTATTTCCAGGAAGTATTTCCAATGAGTAGTAATTGTTCCTCAAATAAACCTCACTGACTCTGATACTGCCTCTTTTCTTTTGTATTCTATTTTTTTCTTCTTTTCTTTGAGTAGTCTTCCATATGCTTGACAAGGATTGTCAGTGTGAGCTCCGTCCCCAGCTCCTTCTGTTATCAGCTTAACCCAGCCAACCAGCACCTCTTATCTAGGCAGCTATCATAGTACCTAACTGGTCTCTCTTCTCTTTACTCTTGCCCTATCCCCCTTTCCACTATCTAATTCATTCCTCCCACTGCGACGAGAATGATTTCTTTTATAACAGATTATAGGAACTGGCAAGATGGTTTAACTGTTAAAGCTCCTTCCATGAATGCCTGAGATTCTGAGTTTTAATCTCCTGAACCCACATAAAAACCAGGCCTGGCAGCATCCCTGCAACCCCTGTGTGTGTAGGCAGGTCTTTGGAGTTCATCTACCAGTCAGCCTAGCTGAATCAATGAACTCCAAGCTCAGTGACAGATCCTGCTTCAAAATACATAAATAGCCAGGTGTAGTGCCACATGTCTTTAAATCCAGCACTTGGAGAGCTGAGGCAGGAGCATATGAGTTTGAGGTCAGTCTGGTCTATACAGCAAGCTGCAGGACAGCCAATGCTACCTAGAGAAGAAGCCTGTCTATAAATAAACAAGCAAGTAAGTAAGTAAACAAATAAATAGTAAATAGAGAGTGACAGACACCTTATGTTGAATCCTGGCCTCCATAGGCCACACAAAACCACATACATACATGCTCTCTCTCTCTCTCTCTCTCTCTCTCTCTCTCTCTCTCTCTCTCTCTCTCTCTCTCTCTCTCTCTCACACACACACACACACACACACACACACACACACCCCACAAACCTCTATATTTGGACATTCACTCTTCTGCCTACTGCTCTCTGTCTTAACCAGAACTCTTAGGGGAAAGCCCATTTGTAACTAGTCCACCATCAGCCGTCACCAGGGGTACAGCCCACCCTGCAAGTCCACCCACGTCCTTCTCCTCCTTCTCCTCTAAGCCTTAGTCATACCATCCCCATTCCCATTTCTGAAAGAACCCAACGCTCCTGTAGCCTCAAGGCTGTCACCTGTGGCTGAAACTCATTTACATTTAACCTAGCTGATTCCTCATCCTCTCAGTTCCAGAAGAGAGATAGAAAAAAAAAGTGATGCTTCCTTATGGGGAATCCTCTCCAAACCCCCTTTTCACTGCTAGCTGAGGTCTTTTTATTTTGCCTCTTTGGGGGTCTACTTCCCTTAATTGTATGTTTTTTTGCTTGTAGAAGGAAAACGCTTTTGCACCTAAGTTCACAGCAGCTCTTCACGCTAGGCCAGAGGCGAAAGCAGCAACAGCATGCATCATGGCTGACAGAATAAAGGAAATGGTTTGCGCTTTCAAACAGTATCATTCTGCCTTAGGAAGAAGAGAGCTCTGACAGAAAACTCTGCTGCGATGTGCTTAGTGAAGATGGATTGTCTCTGTCCTGTCTGTCTTCTCCATTGTCCATGGCTCCTTGAGAGGTTGGACACTTGATTCCCTTTTGGTATGTCTTCTCAGCACTTGGCTCTGTGCCTGGGATAGGACAATCTCTCAGTATAGAGGAGAAGGAGATCCTGGAAGATGGAGAGAGCTTGGATTAGGGTCAAGTGGCCCCAGGAGCCTGGGTTCCTGCCTGTTTAGGGCTGGCCCCTGAGAAGAAGCACAGCTGTCTCTCCTCGTCGTTGCCTAACTCAACATAGACTACGATTAAGATTCCTTTACTTAATGTGGCCTGAGCTTTCCTCTTCCTGGAGGGTGGCAGCTCTGGCTTCTCCCTCCTCAAAGCCTCCCTGAAGCCTTTTGGGCAGTCATAACACATACTCTTAGAGCCAGTCTTCTGCTTCAAGTGTGTTTAGAGACCCTACGCAATCTGAGGTACAGTTTCCTGAGTAGATCAGGCTTCATTGTTCACTGAGAATCTGGAGTCTCCTTGGGGACTTAGTAATGAACGAGAAGATGGTGAAGAAGTTCAGATACAAATTGAGGCAACCCAGCTTCAAAGTGCAACCACCGAGCTGAGCTATGAGCTAAGACTGAGCTTTCCACTCCTTGGGGTAAGCATCACCTAAGGGCTTATGACGTAAAGACAGAAGACGCATGGGGAACTGAGCATACTCTCACAGCCCCCTCGCTGTGAGCCTCCAGGTGTTGCCCTCCGGGAGGTGGAGTCACTCACCTGTTTAGCAAATTTGGAAAGTGCTTTGGCTTGCTTTCCTCTCAGACTCTGAACTTCCTGAAGCTGCATCTGCTGGTCATTACCACCCCTGAAGCTCTCTGTCCTGGGCTCATCATCGTGGATCCATCAGTCCAACTTGAAAAAAAAGTGCCCTCTAGGCTGACAGGTCATAGGTTCTAGAAGCTTTTGAGAGCCCTGGGTATTCAAAACAGAGGGGTACATTTAGTTCTAGGCTCCTCTGACCTGAGACACCGCAGGCTCAATTTCTAGTAGGGCCCACCCAAAATAGGGCCCACTCTTCTATCCCCATGAGACCTCCATGTCAAGACATGTCTCCCCTTGGACTGAAAGTATAGCTCAATGGTAAGTACACACACACACACACACACACACACACACACACACACACACACACACACACACACAGGACTACAGCCCATGTTCCAAGTAAAGAGGGCCCTGGTAATGCTCCTAGGATAAGTTTCAACATCTGAGCCATAAAACCCAGCTTGTCTCAGTTGCTGTGTCTTGAGCCCAAGGACTCCTTATCACTAGGTCTCTTTGCATGCATGCAGACACTGTGGGAGGGCATCCCCACTTAACTGGATGTGCTGAGCCCCCTCACCCCTTTCAACTCATTGATTTCTCACAGCACCCCAACAAGGGAGCTACTGTTAGGTGTCGCAGAGAATTGGGGTCCTTGGCATTGAAGAGGAAGTAGAAGTAAGGACCTAGTCCCAGGCTGTCTGGCTCTAGAGTCACACTAAGCGCAAATGGGGAACAACTGATGGCCACATCATGTGCTCTCCTAAGGGCTCCAGTATCCTGGTGTTCCACATGATCCAAGTTGAGAGGGCCTTGAGGTAATGCCAGGGTGGAACCTAACATGAACTCATGCCACACCATGAATCTGGTTTGTTTCAACCTCTGCTACTTGTGCCCAAGGCCTCCCTGCTGTCAGGTCTCCCATGGACTCCTGGGGTAGGACTCAGCCTTCCAGAACTTCCAGCTGTCTCTGTTGCTCTCTCATAAGCACAGAACAGAAGTAGATCAAGTGTGTCCAACCTTGACCTTCCAAAGTGAGGAAACTTCCCAAAGCTCCTGTCCCACTGCCTTCAGCTCTGGTTTTCTGAGAATAGGAAGGTACAGAAAAATGACATCCAGGAGAAAACAAAGGCATGACCATCTGGTAGGGCTTTGTTGAATGTCCCTAGGTTCCACTTTCTTTATTTAGACAGAGGGTTTGGAATTCCATGTCATTCAGTCTTGGAGTCCTCCCACGCTGTGGTTCTGATGACTCAGCCCCAAGTCCCTACAACTACAAGCACTCTAGTACAACTCCAAGGCTTACCAAGATCTGACAGGAGTCCTCAGGCTGTGCTCCCCTTTCGGGAATCCCGGCTGTTCTCCCTGTAGCTCCTCCTCATGCTGTCTGTCTTCTCAAGTTCACAACCCAACCTCCATCCCCACCCCATCCCCAGCCAACAAGCAGCAAAGCATGGTGTCCATTGAGCTGGGCAGGCAGCCCTGACCTGAAACACACACACACACACACACAGACACACAGACACACACACACACACACACACAGACACACAGACACACACACACACACAGACACACACACAGACACACACACACACACACACACACACACAGAGAGAGAGAGAGAGAGAGAGAGAGAGAGACAGACGCAGAGAGAGAGACAGAGAGAGACAGAGAGAAACAGAGACAGAGATAAAGAGAGAGGGGGGAAGACAGAAAGAGAGAGGGAAAGACAGAGACAGAGAGACAGAGAGAGAGAGACAGAGAGAGACAGAGAGAGAGAGAGAGAGAGAGAGAGGGAGAGAGAGAGACAGACGCAGAGAGAGAGACAGAGAGAGACAGAGAGAAACAGAGACAGAGATAAAGAGAGAGGGGGAAGACAGAAAGAGAGAGGGAAAGACAGAGACAGAGAGACAGAGAGAGAGAGACAGAGAGAGACAGAGAGAGAGAGAGAGAGAAAGAGAGAGAGGAGACTGGTTGTGTACTTTCAAGTTCAGGGCATCACCCTCTCCAGTTGTGAGTGTGCTCTTGAGACTTCTGATTAATTTCTCTCTCTCTCTCTCTCTCTCTCTCTCTCTCTCTCTCTCTCTCTCTCTCCTGCCCTCCCCTCCCTTTCTCCCTCTCTCTCTTTCTTTCCTCCGTGCCTTTTCTACCTCTCTCACCTTCTTTCTTTCTTTCCCTCTCTCCCTCTTTACCCCGTTCCTATCTTTTTTAAAGTGAATCTTCCTCCTTTTAACTGCTATTCTACCCTTCCCTTCTGTGATTTCCCCTCCCATCTTCTCACTAACTTCCTGCTATGTGAGTATGACCAACTGCTTAACGCTAACTCCAGGCCACCATATGTTCTCTCTCTCTCTCTCTCTCTCTCTGCTCTCTCCTCTCTCTCCTCTCTCTCTCTCTCTCTCTCTCTCTCTGCTCTCTCCTCTCTCTCCTCTCCTCTCTCTCTCTCTCTCTGTCTCATGTACCCCAGGCTGGTCTTAAACTCACTGTGTAACTAAGAAGGATCTTGAACTTCTCATCCTCCTGCCTCTACCTCCTGAATGTTGGTGTCATAGGCATATGGCACCAGGTCTGCTTTATGTCATGCTGAGATTGAACCCAGGGCCTCATACATGCCAGGCAAGCACTTTACCGACTGGGTCCCACCTCCCCAGCCCCATCTCCTGATCACTTCCTATCTTTCTCTCTCCCTTCTTAAGGCCCCCTCCTTGCTTTCTGGGTCATGGCATTATTCTGATACTAATTCTTTATCTCATGACTACTTCTTGGTTTTCTTGTATCTGTCTTGTAAAGAGTCTATATTTGCTCTTCTTCTCTCTTTATTCTCTCTTCATTGGACAGCTCACAAATGCCCATTTCCAGGCCCCAGAGATCCGATGACGTATTTTTGGCCTCCATAGATACCCACATACACTCACACAGACATGCACACATAAGTAAAACTTTGCAGATGCATTTCTGCTGTTTTACATCACTCAGGTTTGGGTACTCCGCTGTGGCAGCCCTGGGAATCACAGGCAGTTGAGGATGCTGACCCAGAGAATGACTTAAATACCTCCTTACTGGGACAAGAGCGCCTTGGAATATTAAGTGAATTGCTGGTCCCCAGGGACTCTCTTGAGAATGCTGAGTAGATGCTGACCCTCCTTGGTTCAAACTTGTTCTTCTATCTAGATCGCATCACCCCAGGCATGGAGACATGTGGTGATTTGTAAACCTGAGATGCCCTGAGGTCGTACGATAAAGCAAGCTCAAACCTCCAGCTCCTAGCTCAGGCTCTCAAAACCCACTGGCCTCCACTGCTGGACAACCAATTAGACAATCCAGCTAAAGTACCGATGTCCACAGAGAGTCTGGGGTTCTGGGGAAGTCTATGAGCCTGGCATGGTTTCTGTACACATTCTAGCTCCTGAGACTCCTATGACATCTGTGGCCTCAGGCCGTGGTCAGGACACCCTGGTAGGTTCTCTGTTTCCCAACTGTGACTCACTGCTCCATGAGAGGCAAGCTGGAGTGCAACAGCCTCTGTTTCTTCTTTCTTCTGTCTTTCCAGGAAGCACTTGGAACAGGATATAACAGCAGCGCTTTCCAGCCAGCCTGACATCCTGCTTCCAGATGCAAGACTCTGAGTGGGTACAAGCACAGCCCTGAAGCAGCTGTGAGCAGGGAGCTCCGAGGTTCCAATTTAAAAATCTGAGTCTAGCGGCTTTCAGCTCGGCCCTCACTTTGTCTTCGTTTCTACCTTCTTGGCCCTCAAGTGATCAGAATAATGTATTATAGTCTGTTGTGGTTTATATTCGAAATGTCCCCCATGGGCTCTGGTGTGGTACCCACTTGGTGGTGCTGTTTGGGGAGGCTATATTACAGTCTATTCTTAGACCTTCATTCAGCTCTCTGAGGTTAGTGCTGTCTGACATTACTACCTGGAAATGTCCAGAAAAAAAATTCACTAGTGTCTTTATTGACTACAGTATATGATTATAATTGTTCTATTTATTATTAGCTATTGTTAATCTCTTGCTATGCTACGAATCAAACCTTACTGTTGCAGTGTCCACGCTGGGAAATCTGGGAACTAAACATTGTACATGTGAAATTCAGAACTGGCTACAGTTTTAGGCATCCTTGGAGCATCCTGGCACATGTCTCCCTGGATAAGGGAGTGTCACTGTACATAAAATGGGAACGATGTCAGTCTCAGCATCTGTGTCATGGGACATAACTCCTGACTGCATGCTGGGAACTGAACTCCGGTCCTCTGCAAATGTAGTATGTAATCTTAACCACTGAGGCATCTCTCCAGCCTTGGCTGATGGGGTTTTGTTGCTTTGTTTGGTTATGTTGTGAGATAGGGTCTCATGCTCCTATCTCTCAGGCTGGTTCCGTGTAGCCAGGATGACCTTACACTTCTGAGACTCTTGCTGCCACATCCTAAGTTCCAAGACCACATGCATGCACCTTTACACTCAGGTTTATGTGGTGCAGGAGATGGAACCCAGGGCTTCCTGCAAGGGAGGCAAGCGAGGTACCAACTGAACTACATCTCTAGTCCTCAAACTAGTTATCTATTCTAAATTTCTCAGAAACTTGGTGGTTTTAGCATAACAATAAACAAACATTATTTTACATAGTTCTAGTAGCTCTAGAATTTGGAAGCAATTCAGCTTCACGGTTCCACCCAGGGTCTCTTATAGGGTTACAGACATCATTAGCAGCTTGGGATTGTCTACCCTCCTAATGCTGCAACCCTTTAATTCAATTCCTCATATTGTGGTGACCCCCAACCATAAAATTATTTTGTTGCTACTTCTTAACTGGGGTTATGCATCACAATGTAAATATGTGATATGTGACCCCTGTTGGGGAAGTCTTATGTCAATAAAGCACTGTTGAGCCAATAGGGAACCAAGATAGGAGGGACTAGGAGTCCAGAAGGACTCTGGGTAGGAGAAAGACAGAGAGTCGAGATGTAACGCCATAGGGTAGGAAGCTCGGAAACTTCTCGTGTAAGAGACATACTTAGATTAACAATTATGGGGTAATTACTTAAGTCAGAGCTAGCCAGTAAGAAACAAGCAAGGCCAATAGCTTCATAATTAATATAGCCTCCTGTGTGTTTATTTGGGACTGATGCGGCTCTAGAACCAGGCTGGCAGGAAGGCTTCACTCAAGGAAAAAGCCTCCCTTTACAGACCCCAAATGGGTCGAAACCCACAGGCTGAGAACCATTGGACTAGGGTCTGTCTGCTTCAGTGTGGTCTCTGTGTTGGTGTTGGCTATAGACAAGAGACCCGGATTCTCCTTCAGAGGGGCACTTGAGTATCCTCACCATACGGCAGCCAGCTTCTCCCTGCCAGGTGATCCAAGAGAATACAAGAGAAGCCACAGTGTCCTTTAAGGTCTACCCTCAGAAGTCACACTTGCCAGCACGTCATGTTTACCTGGGATGGTCCTGTCTGTTTGGGGAGGGGGGCTACAGGAGGACGGGATTTATTCGTCACTTTTCTTGTTGCTGACCAAATATCTGACAAGAAATAATTTAAGGCCTTGGGGGTGGATCACAGTAGGGTGCAGGGTTCAGTTCCTAGGAGTTCATGGCCTTCCTCTGGTATGTAGCAGGTTTGAGGACAGCCTGGGACACAGCCGATTTTGTCTCAAGAAGCAGAAGGAAGAGAAGGAGGAGGAGGACTTTTGAGAGGGGGTTTTCCTGGCTTGTAGTCTGAGGGTGTTCAGCCCATCATGGAGGAGAAGACGAAGTGGCAGGAATTTGAGGCAGCTGGTTACACGGAGTCTGTAGTCAGGAATCAGAGAACAGACAGGAAGTGGGGCTGCCAGGCTACACAAACTAAAGGTCAGGACCCCCAGTGACCTACGTCCTCCAATGAGGCTCCACCTCCTGAAGGCTCCACAATCTTCCCAAGCAGTGCCACCAGCTGGGGGCCGAGTGTTCAAACACATGAACCTGTGGAGGATATTTCACACCCAAATCGCATCACAAAAGGGGAGGCCATATAGGAGTCTAGCCTGCATCAGATGGGACGGGGGGGGGAGGGACGGGGGGGGGCAGAGAAAGAGTGCTGGGGAGCCCTGGGATCATTCCTCGCTCAACCTTCGTGATACCCTTTGCCTTCCCTTTCCCCCCACATTCTTTCCTTCAGTGAGGACCCAGACTGTCACAATCAGAAGGGCATGAGGGACAGCAGGGAAGAATGAGGTGTTTACACAGGTGAGCAGGACCTTTGTGAGGCTGGGGGGTGACTGAGTGAGTTAAAACCTTGCCGGGAAAGTGTGAAGACCTGAGTTTGCATTGCCAGAACCCACATGAGGCTGAGCAAGGTAGTGTGTCTACAGTCCCTGTACTCCTAAGGCAAGATGTGGGGCAGAGACAGGAGAATCCATGGAGGCTGAAAGGCCAGTCAGCCTGGTGTGCACTGCAATGAAAAAAAAAAAAAGACCCTGTCTCCGACAAGGAAGAGGGTAAGGACAGACACCCGGAATTGTCCTCTGACCTCCGCATGCTCACCACAGCATTCATGCCTGCACTCTTAGCCATTAATACACACGCACGCACACACACACACACACACACACACACACGCACGCACACAGGAATGCACGCATGTGCACACACACACAGGATTTTTATTTTAAAACAACTACGTGAGGGATTGAGAGGGAATCGGCAGACACTGAGAAGGGAAAATGTTTATAAATATGAGTGAAAGAGGCAGAGGGACTGTTCAAGGAGAGCCAAGCAAACACATTTAAGCCAGCTGGAGTAAGACAGTAAACGTTAGGGCATAGGGTTTGGCTAAAACATGTTCAAAGTTCCTGCAGGCTTGTTTGATGTGGGGATTTGGGGCTGAGTAATGGATTTGAGGAGTGTGAAAAAAAAAATCCTCCTCCCAGGGACAGTTCAGGAGCTTGTCCTGGTAGGGTCAAGGCAATACCAGGAAACGGACTTTAATAGCTTCCTTATATCAGGGTAGGAAACTGAAGTTGATAAGGAGTTGGAATAGAGTCTCCCAGTTGGAGGAGCTTCCCCAAAAGGAAACTTTGGAGAGGGAGATAGTCTGTGTTTACACAGCATGCCTTCGATGTCTGCAGTTTACACAAGCTGTATCCTAGGGCCAGGCCGAAGATAGAACCGCCTGACCTAGAAAAGCCTAAGTCTGGGCACAGTGCCCAACCAGCACTGAGAGGGAACTTCTACCCAGCCCCACCCAGCCCAGGGGCTCAGAGTGGGGGTGGGGGATTCCCTGTGCACTCTAGACCCTACACTGGATGCATTCAGGAGCTAAGCAAAGCGGTGACAATGGCTTGGAAAAGTACCTGTTCTACTCTTCTTATTCAGGCTAGGGATGTAGCTCAGTGGCAGGGTCATGCTGGCACAGCACACTGGGAGTCCTAGGTTTGAAGCCCAGCACCACTAAGAAAGCATTGGGGATGGGGGGAGGGGGCTCATCTAGGTCATTCCTGTTAGCAGCAGGGACTGTTACAACAAGCCCTGATGTCTGGCACCTGGCCACCACCCAACAATAAAATTTAATGATTAACTTGGTTCCCCTAAATGCTCCCAGTGGGATGTTCAGAGCATCCCCAAAAGGACTATTCATGGTCTGCAGATCGGTTGGTTTGTTCAAAGAGATGATGAGAGTAGTTTCTTGATTTAAATCTGCACCATCCCTTGAGGCTGACCTTGGACAGTTGCACGGTAGGGCTGGGAGCTTCTGTTTCCCCGTGTAGGATGTGAGAAGACTTAACAGATGGGAATCCCTTGGACAGTGCCTAGCACACAACAAGAGATCAGAAAAACAGGACCCACTGGCGCTGGCATGGTGGCATATGGAACCCCACAACATGTAAACCCCACGTTCGGGAAGCCGAGTAGAAGAATCATTCAAGACCTGACTGGGCTACATAGTGAGTTCCAGACCACCCACAGTCGCCGGGTGGTGGTGGCGCACACCTTTAATCCCAGCACTAGGGAGGCAGAGGCAGGGGGATCTCTGGGAGTTCGAGGCCAGCCTGGTCTACAAGAGCAAGTTCCAGGACAGCCTCCAAAGCAAAACAGAGAAACCCTGTCTTGAAAATCAATCAAACAAACAAACAAAAAATAACCATAGTAAGAAACCGAGTCAGGCTTCCTGACCTCAGATGCAATGTGACCTGCTGCCTCCTACTCCTGCCACCATGCCGTCCCCTCCATGAGGGACTATGTCCTTGAACTGGAAACTGACATAACATTTTAATGTAGTTCTAAATGATCTCATAGTGGAGAAACTCTAAGCTTTGAAAGAGACAAGCTTTTCAAGTTGTTTATTACATGACCCAAAGTGGACCCCCAAGGAGGTGTGGGGAGGGGGGAGAGTCCGGTTACTGCAGAAGGTGAACACAAAAGGAATAAAACATATGTGAAATTAACTACCACAAGGAAGAGTTGGCAGTCGCAATAACAGAAGTAGAGCAAAATAATCTAAAAGGAATCTGAACTTTTTTTCATGAAATAAAAGATTTTAAAAATTTGCTAATGAATCTGAAAGGGGAGGGGCTGTAGAGATGCTTAATGGGTAAAAGCATTTGCTATACAAGCCTGAGGACCTGAGATTGAATCCCCAGCACGCAGGGAAAAAAACCAATGTGACTGTAAGTGCCTATAACCCCAGCTGTGGGGGCTGGAGACAGGAGAATCATGGGGACTTATTTTGCATAACAGAGAAAGAGATTAAAAACCTTTTGAAATAAAGAAAAGCAACCCCCCAAAAAAACAAACAAAAAAATAGGGCTGCTATCATGGACTAAAGCAATCAGTCCTCTATCATTCCACGCCTTCACCCCCTGCTGCTCCAGAGCCCAGGAAACTCACACCTACCTCCTTAGATGGTTCCGATTCTCTAACTCACTGCCCAGGCAGTTGTCTCTGCTGCCCCTTTGACACAGAGCACTAAGCACAGTGATGGCAGGTTGGCCTGTCTACCATGCATACTATAAACTCCTCATTCACTCCTCCCCACCGGTACACCTCACACAGGGCAGATACACCTCATACAGGGCAGGCACGCCTCACATCTCTGGACAGTGCCACAGTGTCGTTCGGACTTAAGTGTGGTAGCAGGAAGCATAGTCCGTGGGTTGGTCCCCAAATGTGCCAGCAGCCCCAGCTACTTGCCTCTGATATGGACCACACACATGAAGATGGGCTCACAGGAACTCGGGGCAGAAGGGGTAACAGGGAGGTTGAGGGGAATCCAGGGAAGGGAGCAGAGCCTTCCTTTTCATTGTAACAAAACTCAAACTCATCTGAGGAGTGAAGCTTCTCCCAGGGAGGAAGGGAGAAAGGCCAGCTAGGCAGGAAGCAGGGGGCTTTCTGCAGCCCTGGCTTCTGAGAACAAAAGGCCCTTGCTTCTGTTCCAGTCTGAACCCAGTACTCCAAGTTCCCAAGGACTAAGGAGTGTCTCTCACAATCTCAGACTCAGGGTAAAGTCCAGGGTCACCCTTGTGATTCAGAGGGTGGGGCTGGAGTTAGAAATTGTACCTTTGTTTTAAATTAAAAAAAAAAAAAAACAGACTCCAGTGAAGGCTTCAGTTCAGCCATCTGTTCCAGGGAGTTGACAGAATGACTAGGGTTAAACTTTTCAGTCAGCCACCTCCCGGGCAAAGTCCCCAAAGCCATGCCCACCCCTTTCCTCACCCTTCCTGAAAAGCCAAGCTGGTTTCTATGTCCTGTTGACTCTGGCTTTGTGGAGACCTCAAAGGGTTCTAGTCTTCGTACATATCCAGTCACTACCTCAGCAGCTCTCCATTCTCCCTGCTCTCCACTATCTCCCCAGCGCTGGCTGCATGATTTCACCTGGAGCCTAGGTGATTCTTGCTGAAACAAAGTAGTAACAGAAAAGGATCCTGATGTCATGATGTGGGATCCAAACTCTTCCCATTGGAACAAAACCATACCTCTTCAGCCTCGGTTACTTGGTTTTGAGTAATCTACTCTGCTTGGCACGCGCTGGCTCTGGGGCTATTCCACCTTCCTCAAGTGCCCCTCCTTACAGCGAGTCGCTTGCTACGCCCGTGGTCCACTTCCTATACATTGACCTGGGAAATGGCCAGCAGCTCCATGTAGCTACTGACAACCTGAAATGCGGCCAAAGGTAACCGAACTTTCAATTTTACTTAATTTGACAATGTTTTAACGAGAAGACACAAATTGGCATAGCATATAGCTGTTGTGCCCAAATTCTGAACCCCCAAATCACCAAGATACCCATTCTGATGCAAAAGCAAAGAGTCTTTTATTATTTAACGAGTTAACTCGGGTCTTCTGTCCCTCCAACATGGTGGGTGGGAGTAAGAAGGACCCAGGGGAACTGCGAAGCCAGGAATTTATTGGGTGTGCAAGGGGAGTGTCTAGAGTTATGCAGCAATCTCAAGATTGGTGCACTTTCTGGCTTGGGTGACCTGTCCCATGTTGATTGGTTAACTGATTGCTATGGCCTATAGGCCCTCCCAGGGTGGTTGCTATGCTCTGCACATCACTGTTACCACAGAGCACATCCAGAGCCCGCCAGCTAACTTCTGATTGATTCCTTGCCCTGTGAAGGGCATCTGACCTCCTAGAGACTGAGAGAACAGGCAAGGTCAGGAGACTCAGCATATTTTGCTGAGTCAGAGGCCTACATCTTGAGGGGTCCTTTCTGCAGCCTGTCATGGCTGCCAAAGCAGGGGGCTGGGTGGGTGTCTGATTCTTTCATAGCAAGATTGGTACCCTGGGTTTGACAAATGAGTCTGAGCCAAAAGCTAACTCAACTCCGAGTCATTTCCTGGGACTCTATATTCCTAGTGTCAAGTCCCAGAGAAACCAAGGACAATGCTCACTCATACCTGTGGCTCCTCCCAGCATTTCTCACCCTGAACCCTACTCTAAACTCCTCCAGCTCAGGGTCTAGGTTCCCCTTCCCTTCCCCCAGCTCCTCATTCCTATACAAACCTGCCATTTTGGTCATGCACTCTCTTGGCTCCTGGACCCCTCCTCTCCCTCTCTCTTCTGTTCCTCTCTCCCTGCGCCCGCCTCTCATGCCTCCGTTAAGTCTGGATTCAGATGATGCCTCAGACTGTTCTCGCCCTCGTACCTGCGACAAGACCCTTCTCCTCAACCGTACCTTGGAGGAATCATGCCCTCCTTTTCATTCACCTGGTGCTCTCCAAATCCATCCAGCCATTAACCCTCAGAAGTGCAAGCAAAGAACAGACTGTAGCCAATGGCATAGCCAACTTGAATGGGTGCTCACTTACTGAGACTTTATCACACATCTGTTTTCAGCATGGCGTGGTAGGCAAGGGAGAACATGGATTTAATATAGTGCAATGCGTGCTATGATGGAGAGAAACAAGGATACTACAAAAAAAAATCATAAGCCAGGTACCTTGTTCATTCTGGGGTAGGATGGAAACCAAAGCAGGGAGGACTATGGTTATTTTCCAAGGCTAATGGCTGTACTAGTGGAATGGTCAAGATGGACTTGATGATACATTCCCGTAATCCCAGATGGCCCGGTGAAGGAAGAGGGGCTAAGGCAAGAGGACTCCTAGCCAACTGAGGTTACCACAGCGAAAACCCTGTCTCAAAAACAAAACCAAGAGCTAGAGGGATGGCTCAGTGGTTAGGAGAACTTGCTGTTCTTGCAGCAGGCCTGAATTCAGTTCCCAGCATCCACATCAGGAGATTCACAACTGATTACATGCTGCATAGCTTGTGTCATGACCCAAGCTAGAGTCATCTGAAAGGAGGGAACCTCAGTTGAGAAAATGCCCCGAGAAGATCTGGCTGTAGGGCATTTTTCTTAATTAGTGATTGGTGTGGGAGGGCCCAGTCCATTGTGGGTGGGGCCGTCTCTGGATTGGTGGACCTGGGTTCTGTGAGAGAGCAGGCTGAGCAAGCCATGAGGAGCAAGCCAGTAAGCAGCATCCTCCATGGCCTCTGCTTCAGATCCTGCCCTCAGGATCCTGTGCTGTTTGAGTTCCTGTCCTGACTTCCTTCAATGATGAAAGTGTCAGTCAAATGAACCCTTTTCTTCCCAACTTGCTTTTTGGTCATGGTGTTTCATCATATGTAACTTGTAACTCCAGCTCCAAGGGATCTGATGCTCTCTGGCCTCTACAGGTACTTGCAGGCTTGTAGACACATAAAGTCATGCAGATACACATATATAAATAAGTAAAAATAAAAAGTAAATCTTCTTTAAAACCAAGTAATATATATATATAAATTAAATATATATTATAGCAGCATATGTAACATATACTACATATATATTAAAGCTATACACACATGCACACACAAATGGCTGGAATTGCTGAAAAGGGAAAAAGATTAACCAAGAAAGCAGCTTATTATAGAAACTTCTCCCTATGGACATGTTGTCACTCTCTCGGAAGACTCCACTAGGCTCTGGCAGGATAGCTTGTCAGAAACATCTCATAGCTCCTAGTTTTAACAAAGTTCCCCATTCGTTGGGATTTTGCCATTCTCTACAGGGCACGGAGGAGCAAAGCTTTCTGGAAACAGGTCTAAGTTGAAGGCACATGGTTTTAGCCTTGCCTTTGGAACATGCTGTGTTTCTTCTGGCAAATGTATCATGAACGGCATCTGTTTGTCCCAAGATGGGTTAAATGGCATCCCCAATCCCAGACCCTCGACTGTTCAAACAAATGCGTCAGAAGTCTTGGTGACCCGGTCTTTTCTTAGAAAGAAAACCAGGGCAGCATTTTTTTTATTCCTTTTTTAAGTTTTTTTTTAATCCCCATCTCTTGACCTTTGCCTGAGATCAAAAACAGGGTCTGCCACATGCCTGGAAAGTGCTCTATCACTGAGCCGTACAACCCCAGCCCCTTCCACCCTTTTCTCCACACATGTGGCTCAGCACAGGAGGGAGAATTTTATGGGTGTCACGTCCTGCCTCTGGTTCTCCCCCCCCTCCCAGAAGAAGCAAAGCTACCTCTTCTTGAAATGTGTTTAACTCTTGGGGTTTCTTTCCTGAGCAGAAACCCAGGGAGATCAGATAACTGAGGGTTAGTTAAAAAATAATTTATACTATGCCCCTGCTTTTTCCATAAATTATTATTTTGGCTCGCTGCCCAGGGTGACCTTGGGAAGGGCAAGGATAACTAGCACCTCCTCAGGCTCCGTGGGAAGGGCACTAACAGCCCCTAGCTGAGGACCAGCTAGTGAATGGCTGTGATGGAGTGACTGGGCTGAGAGCCACTTCCAGAGCCTGGGAACTTGGAAGCTGCTGGTCTAGTCTGGCCTCTGGGAGAAGGGCCTCTTCCCAGCCAGCAATGCTTTCACTCCAGGCAAGAGAGGCCTCCAGTTGGCATTGACTCAGAGGATCCACTCTAGGCATCTCCTGATGCTGTCCCTGCAAATGGGTCAAGGTGAAGAGACCCATCAGGACCTACATATGCTTCCTTTTATATATGCTTCCTTCTATCCCAAACTGCTGGTACGAGGACCCGAAACTTCCTTATTCAATCAGGCCATGTCCACTTTCCTGGGTATGAGTCTGTTAGAGGGGGACCTCGTTCCAACAGAACCAAGTGTCTGCTCTGCCATCTTCTAAAACTGCCAAAATAACTTTGTGCTGTTACTGACCCTCAGAAAGGATGGGAACACTTGCTCCATTCTCCTTCCCTCCTCCCTCCCTTCCTCCCCCCTTCCCTTTCTTTTGAGACAAAGTCTCACTAGCTAATTAGACCATGCTGGCCTCAAACTTTTGATAAGGCTCCTTTATAGATGTGTGTCAGCACGCTGACATAAACCCAAGTTCTTAATGTACCACTCCAAAAGCCCCACTTACACCCCTGCTCTGGCTGATGACACGATTCCTTAGGCTTCTGCTGGAACCACTGTTTTTATTTTTGTTTTTGTTTTGTTTTCCCTCCTTGTATCAAGCCCTTGCAACCAGAGATTGATCCTACTGGGAACACACCAGCATCTGTGAGTAAACTCAATCATGGGAAAGAGGAAGCAAGCAAACATGTTTAAACCACCAACAGGAAGGCTTAGGAAGGATCCAAGGACATTTGTATTTTGTTTTTTAATTACATTTATTTGTGCATTTCCTATGTGGGCATGCATGTGTGCCACAGGGCTACTGTGGAGGTCAAAGGACAATTTGTGGGAATTAGTTCTCTCCTTCTACCATGTGGGTTCCTGAGATCAAACTCCTGTTTGGTGCTAGGTGCCTTCACCCACTGAGCCATCTCTCTGATCCCCCCAAGAAGATCATTCTGACAATGACAATACTGAAATTTTTCTTTCTTTTTTGAGACAGGGTTTCTCTGTGGCTTTAGAGGCAATTGTCTTAAGAGTTTCAACACCATTGACTTACTTCTTCCCCTAATCGTCTAAAATCACATCTCCCATTTACAAAACAGACACTGAACACATATGTCTGTTATTTAATCTTCACCACTCTTTACATGTAATGACCCCTGTTTTATAGATAAAAAAGGCAAGATGGGGTCCATCAACCAAGTTCCTACCAGGTTCCCTCACTGTATTCCATTCCTTCTCTGAATTAGGAAATGAATAGCCAGTGATCTACTATGAGCCACACTAGTTCAGATCCAACAGTGGCTGAGCTCTCTACTTAAAGGGGTTTTTGTTGTTGTTTTTTGTTTTGCTTTTTCCTATTTCAGCTCAAGCAGTCACAAGCACAACACTCCTGGTCACAGCTTGAGCCACTTCCCCTGGCTTCTGCTGCCTCCTCTCCTATTCCCGTTGGATCCTGGCAGGGCCACAGAAGGCTGACATTGAAGTAGGATGAACCTGGCCTGAAAGTCTCTGCTGTAAACTTTCCAGTACCATCATTCTGACTCAGCAGCTGCTGCCTTGCCCTGAATCCTTCCTTCCCCACCGTTTTCCTCAGCAGCTGACACCAGAGTCTGAAGGATGAGCTGATTAGTTGCTCCAGGAGCCGCGTCGTAGACAGACAAAAGCCACGTGGGCCATTTCTCAGCACCCCTGGATGAGGCTTTATGGCTATGTGACAAATGCAGCCGGCTGACGTATTCCATCCCGGCATTTTTTAGTGAGGCAAAGGCCAACTTAGCAGGCTGTGACATGTGACAATACCTGAAAACTGAGCCTGCCAGCCAGCCACGGGAGAGTAGTTGCCAGAAGCGGCGGGTCGGAGCCTGCTAACCCAGTGTTCCATGGGAAAGCAGCTACCATGAGACCCGGAGCAGATTCGAATTTCCTTGGGGAAGCAGAACCGGTGTTTAAAGGATTCTTGTTTCAGTCCAGAAAACAAGAACCTCCCATCTTTCAAACTGACAAGAGAAGCAGGCATGGTGGCAGACACCTATAATCCCACTATACCCTCGGTGGCTGAGGTGAGACCAGCCTGGGGCTCTGTACTGAGACCCTATTTCAAGGGGTGGGGAGGGGAGGGTGGAGGATTGTTGGGGAGATGGCTCAGTGAGCAGGAGTGCTTGCTCTGCAAGAATGAGTTCAAGTGTATAGCACCCATGTAAAAAGGCTGGGCACCACTGAGTTGCCGATAACCCTCAGGGGACAAAGAGAGTGGCTATCCAGGTCTCAGTGTAGTTGAAATGGGGAACTCTGCTTCAGTGAGGCCTTGTCTTAACGTCCTTCCCTGACCTCTGTATGCTCACCCAGGGGACTATGCACCTGCACCCCTCCCCCCACACCCCCACAAAACGGTGGGGGAAAATAAATGAGATAGAGCGAGCGGCATGTTTTGGGGACTCCGGGAAGGGTCTCGGATGCGCGCGCAGGGCTGTGTGCAGTGCTGTATAAGTGATAGCCTGTCCATGGGTTTGCTGTTTCACGGTGAGGTGTGTCGTCTATAGGCACTGACACATGTCTTTGACCAGCACAGGCTCCTGACTGAGGGTGAGCTGAGGCTTCAGCTGGCCATCAACAGCTCATAGATGTGTTCTGGAGGCTGAGAGGAATACAAGCAAGAATTAAAGCCATGTTTTCCATTATTAACAACAACAAACAAAATCACCCACCATTCGGTTCCACATGTCTACTTTCATGTGAATCTTTCCACATGAGAAGCCTTTTCTGGGAAGGGCCACATCAAATTGCATTACCGAAACAGAAACATTGCCTTTTTAGATCTAACTCATGCTGAGTGAATAACATATGGGGTTTACATCCCAGGTAAATATTGCCATAAGCTCTGCTCCTCTTCCCCCCTCCCTCCATCAGCCACCTGGAACATTTTACAACCAGAGCCTGAGCTCAAAGTAGGGAACATTTTACTAGAATCAGTCTAACAGCTGGAGAACTTCAAGATGGCAGCCAGCCTGGAAGGAGCTGGAAAAACAGACAGACCAACCCACAAACAAAACTGCAGAACACTACAGTGCCTCAAAGCTAAATACAGTTAACTTCTTGTCTTAGGCTTGAGCGTCACACACCCAGGGAGCCTGAGCATTAGGGTTGTTTGGGTGTACCAGAGAGAAAGCACTGTGATAAGAGTCAAAATAGGACCTACCCATAGTGGCGCATGCCTGTGATTCCAGCATTTGGGGTAAAGAGTCCAAGGCCAGAGGCCGGGGAGATGGCTCAGTGGGTAAAAGCCACTGAGGGTCCGAGTTTGAATCCCCAGCGCCCATGTTAAAAGGAAGGTTGTGGTCTCACGAGCCTGTAACCCCATTGTTGTGGGGGATAGAGACAGGGAGATTCTTGGGGTTTGCTGGCTGCTAGCCTAACTCCAGGCTCAGCAAGAGACGCTGTCTCAAGGGATCAAGGCAATAAGGTGAAGAGCCAGAAACAAAACAACCAAAGCCCTCCTCTGGCCTTTATATGCACAAGCACAGTTGTGCACAACGGTACACGTGGGTGCCTCCAATACAGACAATGAAAGAGATTCAAAACCATCCTCTGCTACATACAGAGTTCAAGACCAGCCTGAGCTATATCACATGAAATCCTGTCTCTAAAATGCATATAAGGAGGCAGGGAGAGGCTGGAGGGATGGTTCAGCAGTTAAGAGCACCTCTTGCTCTTGGAGAGGACCCAGGTTCAGTTCCTAGCACCCACATAGTGGGTCACAATCTCTTATAACTCCAGTCCCAGAGGATCCAATGACCTCTTCTGGCCTCCTCCGGCACCAGACACGCAAGTGCAGTCCATGCATACATGCGGGCAAAAAGACTCATACACATAAAATTCGTTAAAAATTATGTTAATCAGTTAATTAAAACACTAACAACGAAAAAGCTCAAGAGCAGCTTGTGCTACAAGAGACCCTGTATCACGCCCTCCCTTAGCCCTCCAATCGAAATAGAGAGCTTCCAGCTCTGGCAGGGTCTGCAACTGGCCACTGCAAGCAAAACTTTGAGGGAGTCCTTTAAGCTCTTCCTCCTGGCAGCTCCTCGCACTGGCCAAAGAGCGAGAGGCTAGGGCCGGGTGTTCCTAGTCAGGCTATTGTGAGTAGTGAATGAGATAAAGTAGGTCAGAGTGCTTGCAGGCATTTTAAACATTACACACTGCAGGGCTTGTATTATTGGGTTGGTGGGGAGGGGAGCATGCTTAGGAATTCCCTATTCCCTTCCCTTCCTGGAAGGGAAGAGGAAGGGAATCTATGCCTGCTTGATCTGTAAGAAAGGATTGGAACCCGACTATTTTAGGCTGATGGTGAGATGGCAGAGTTGTGCAAGGCAAATGCTGCATGTGTCATTGTCCCCATTAGAAAATTAACCCAAGGTTTAACTACCAAGTGATGTGACTGATTTTTAAATAAACACTTCTAAATGGGTGCTGCTCCACCCTGACTAGTAAGTAGCCACCTTGGCAAGCAACACATTTATTTAAATTATATTTCCCATCATTCAAATGAAAGACCTTTTTTTTTTTTTTTAACTCCTCTTTGGAACTGGTCCTGGAGCCTCTGGCACATTCTTTTGAATATGTCTGAGGGTGACACATTTTTGTCCTTTGTGGATAATCCTGATTTTTGTAAACACGCCAAAGTTATTTGGCACAAAGACTGGTAAATAAGCTAAGCAATACCGTTTTATTTTTTTTAAATTAAAAATAAACCAGGACAACAAAGTAAGTCTTTCAGCTCCCAAAGAAGGACTACAAATGGACTTCGAGGTCCACAGTGGACTGGGAAGGGCTCCTTCCTTCATCTTGCCACTGAACTTTGTCCTTCCAGAAAGAACACCGCAACTGTTCAAGTGTTCCTATCATTGTAATCCAGCATGGGGGGCAGGGCAGGCCTAAACCACTCTTTAGCATATGGATTGACTGGCTGGCTGTGATAACGACCTTTCCAACGAATCCATTTGGACCTGTTAGAAACAGCATCCAGCAGGCTCAGTTCTAACAGGTAGACTCTGTTCTCCCTTAGAAGTTGGGCTGTTTTATTTTTCTCTAAGAAAAACATCACACATGAAAATATCGCCAATGTCATGACAGTGTGAGTGGAGTAAACTTTCGCTTCTGTTGTAAATCACTTAAACTGCATTACTTTAAACACAATGGCACTTCCATTCATGACAGGTTGCACACTGAAGCATTTTCATTCATTAGATGCTACACAATGGCCCTTTCATTCATTAATGTTACACACTGTGGCACTTTCATAACTTCAATGTCAAATGATGCCAAGTATCATTTATGTAAAACATCTCTTCCATGATTTGCTCTTTTTTTTTCCTTCTGTAGTAAGATTCTCCTAACATACAAAGCCATCATTTGGCCATTTTCACATATGCAATTCAGCACTGGGTACATTCACAGTGTTCTGTCACCATTGCTATTATCTGGTCTCCAAACACTTTCATCGCCCCCAAAGGCAACAATCTATTAAACACTCCCTTTTCTTCCCTGCCACTCAACCCCTGGCAGCTACTACTATGTTGTTTCTGTAGGTTTATCTAGTTTGGACATTTCACAGGAACCAAACCATACAATAAGTACCTCCTGTGTACTTATGTTTTCAAAGTTGATTCTCGTAACATGTATCAGTGTCCCCATGCCCGCCACCACCACCACACACATACTGCATGTGCTTGGACACATGTGAGTGCATCTTATTCACTGAGGCAGGTTCTCTGATTTGGCTTATCTAGCTAGCCAGCATGCTCTGGAATCCTATCTCTGGCATTTTCCTGGGCTCTGAGGGATTGGAACCACAGCCCTCAGGCTTGTACAACAGGCACTTGAAATGCCCAGCCATCTCCCAGCCCCTTCTGTCAGTACTTTCACCCCTTTTATGACTGCACAATCTCTTGCTTCGATGAATCACATTTTGTTCATCCATTCAGTCACCAATGGGCATTTGGGTGGTTAAGTGTTATGCATTTGTTTTTTATTAACAGCGCTGCCACGAACATAGGTGTCCAAGTTTTCAACTGAGCAGTGTTCTCAGTTCTCCAGGATACATACCTAGGAGTGGGACTGCCGGGTCACGTGACAGTTCTCCATTTAACTTCTGAAGAACCAACCACTCAACAGACTCACTCTCATGCTTACGATTTACGAAGTGTCTTGATCACCAGTTAAGAGCAGCAGTCAAACTCCAGGCAGCCCTTTAAAGGTTTCTTTCCAGAAACCCTGATTAGAGCAGCCAGGCTCAACCCAAGTCAAATTTCTTCCAAGGTAAGGTTCCACTCAGGACTTTGAACAGCCTCTCTGCTGTACTACGTGTCTCAACAAGAACTGGCCAGGCAGGAATCCCTTCCTGCCTCCTAGGCATCCTTGCTTTTCCATTATGTGCTGCACACCTCAGGAAAATGAAGGTAGTTAATCTAACGCATGTATTTCCCTCCTCTGTTTTTGCTAAAGAGCTCATCTTAGAACCTGGCAGCAACTCAGGGGCTTTGTACTACCTGCTTGTCCTGGGTGGAACGCTATTTTCTTCCTGGCTCTAGAACAGGGCGTTCCTAACAGCGGTCAAGGCTATATGGAGACCATCCTTTCACTCCCAGCAGGCTTTTGTTGCAGATTAGGCCTGACCCTACATCCAGGGATGCTGGCTGTGAGCTGAGCCCACTTTGCAGATGGGCTACTCGGTGGGCTCAGGTCCACTCTATAGTTTTGGTGGGTGTAATGGGAAATAATTCCACTACAGGCCAGTGTAGCGAGTCATGGGCTTTCTCTGTCACCAACCCAAGTGACAGCAGCTGACTTCGTGCTGGTTCTTACATTTAAACCTGCACACTGGCCTCTCACTGTGCTGACCTCTTACCCTTGGCCCCCCAAGACACAGGAAGCTCTCGAGTTGCACGAGCCCAAAACCAGCAGCAAAAAACATTGAGACAAAACCAGACAGGCATCAACTGCCTTTCCCCTTTGAAACTGTCAGAGAATGAAGAAGTTGGCTTCTGAGGTCCTTGCTACGCACTCACTCAGGCAACCCAGCTGTCATTTGTCACGTGTGTCTTCGGGAGTCTTTTTCAGGTGTCCCGGCCTGATTTGCTGTTATGACAGGAAAAAAAAAGTTTCTTGCCAGTCATATCCTCTGTAATCTGGCAGGAAACCTAAAATGTCCTGCTGTGGTCCTATGCCGTAGGCTTATCTGCTTCCTTGGGAAGAACGCGCATCACAGTGTCCGGTTTAAGGGGATTTTCACCATGACCTCACCCTCTCCACCATTCACTGACCTCAGCGGGCATTACCCAAGTCACATATGAAGCTCGGGTAGGATCCACATTAGCGAGCCAGCCACCAGCGACCTTGCTAGCACATGAACATCAACTCTCCTCAAATCAGGGCAGGTATCAGTAATGCCCTGAATTGCTAGAGAGGGGTGTTGATCAATAAGACACTTGGCATCTAGTTATCCTTCTAGACTCAGGATGGTAGACTGGCAAGGGAGCCGCTGCTAGTTAAATGTGTGAGCTTGGATTAAAGCGCTTGCCTGTAATCCCGGCAGTGGAGAGGCAGGCTGAGACAGGAGGATTGCCACAAATTTAAGCCAGCGTTTGCTGTACGATAAAATCCTATCTCAAGAGTTAAAAAGAAAAAGGGGGGGGGGGACAAAATGTAACGAAGGAAGGAGGAGGCACCGAGGAACCTTCCAGGCTTGCGGTGGTCTGTGCGGTGCGGTAATGTCTCAGCCAATGATCTCAAAATAGGGCGTGTGGAGGCGACAGCAGGCGGCGGGCGAGTAACTAAACTACGGGAGAGGGCAGTGAGAACTGCAGAGAGAAGAAGCCCGTAAGAGAATGGTGTCGGGATGCGCTTACTCGCCTCGGGGCTCCGGGAAGCGACTGCACTAAAGGGAAACAGAAAGTCCGGGTCCGCAGGCGCGCGCCCGGCCCGGCCCACGTGACCCCCCGGGGCTCCGCCGCTCACCGCGCGCGCTCCCGGGCCGCAGCCTCCTCGGCCACCGAGCCCGGCACTCGCGCCGGCCTCCCCAGCGCGGCGTGCCTGCGTGCGCGTGCCCGGCAGGCAGCGGGGGCGCGCACGCCCCCGAGGGCCGCCGCCCCTCCCTGGGCCCGCCCTCCCGCCCTCCCTCCCTCCCACCCTCCCCCCGGCCGGCGCGGCCCGCCCTGGCGAGTCAGTTCCTCGGGTTCCCTCCCTCCCCGGGCGCGCTCGGGCCGCCGCTGCGCTCCCCGCCCTCCAGCCGCCTTGCCGGAGCCAGCCGCTGCCGGAGGAGGAGGTGGAGGAGCCGCAGGGGCCCGCCGAGGCGGCGGCGGCGGCGGCAAGATGGCGGACTTCCTGCCGTCGCGCTCCGTGCTGTCCGTGTGCTTCCCGGGCTGCGTGTTGACGAACGGCGAGGCCGAGCAGCAGCGCAAGTCCAAGGAGATCGACAAATGCCTGTCGCGGGAGAAGACCTACGTGAAACGCCTGGTGAAGATCCTGCTGCTGGGTGCGGGCGAGAGCGGCAAGTCCACCTTCCTGAAGCAGATGCGGATCATCCACGGCCAGGACTTCGACCAGCGCGCGCGCGAGGAGTTCCGCCCCACCATCTACAGCAACGTGATCAAAGGTGCGGGGACGCGGCGGGGCTCGGGGACCCGGGGACCCCTGGGGAGCGGGGCCGGGCACCGCCCTCACCCGCCGGTCCCAAGCCTGGGGACGCTGGATCGGACCAGATCGGACGGGCGAGCGAGCGAGCGGGTGGGCGCGCCTCGGGCACCGTCCTGTGCGCCGCTGTGCCCTGGTCCCTCAGATCCGGGACGCCCCGCTGTCCCCCGTGCTACCCCAGTGAGGGTCACGGTCGGCCCCGCACCCCTCCGCTGGCCTCGCCCCCTCCGAGAGGGAAGTGTGGCGAGCAGGGTGACTCCGGGCAGCAAGGCGACCGGTGTCCTCCCTGAACACCAGACAAGCCCACCCACCCATCAGCAGCCCCAATCCTTCCCCCGTCTCCCCGCCACTGGTGGGTGACCCTCGTAACCCGCTCGGGTACCCTTCCAGCTCTGGGCTTCCTAGGCCACCTCTTGAGTTAAGCAAGTTCTGGAACCGTCGCAATGAGGAAACTTTTTTTTTTTTTTTTGCCCTGAGACTCTTGTCAAGGGCATAAAGTGACAGCCTCTGGGGCCTTTTGGGGCAAGAGTATGAAACTCAAGGGTGTCGCGTTTACTGAATTGGCATCAGGAAAGCCTATTTAAAAAAAAAAAGACTAGCAGGAGTGGTTTTGTCGCCCCAGTGTTACAGGATGTCTACATGTTGCACACTTTCTTTTTGCTTAATAACTCGGGGCAGGAGGGGAAAAAAAACCGGCATCATTTCTAATACTTAAGTGGATGTATGCTTAACCACGAAGACTCTTTGGTTTAAAAGTCATAGGAGACCATACAGAAGTTACTGGTAGTGAATATGTGTGGTGTTGAATCGTGGGCGTTACAAATTCTGTTTGACAATATTTTAAAATTAAAATATTGTTCCTCAGTGAAAAACACACGACGTCTTTATTTCCTAGCATTCAAAGAAGTTTGGCAGGTGGCTTTTGTCATTTAAAATGTCACCTTTTTTCGTATTTTTTTTAGTGTTATGTATCTTCTACATAAAAGACATTGTCAACACTGAGGCACAGAGCCCGATGTGTTGAGTGATTAAGGAGTCTGTTTTAGCTGGGACTTCAAAGCAAACTAAGAGCATAGGTCTTTTCAGGTTGTTATGTGGCTTTTTTTTAAGTGGGTTTTTGTTGTTGTTCAGGAAGTACATAAAGCCAACCCCTTCGTGTCTCCCCCTCCCCCCTCTTCAGAATTTCAAATGGGGAAAAACTGGAGAGGGGGTCTTTGTAGGGCAGTGAGGGGAGAAGGCTAGGCCAAGAGCTCACAGCCCACGGCTCTTACTTAGCCTTGTACCTCTGCAGTTAAACTGTAAAGAGTGCTTGTATTTAGTCTGCCTTAATGTTTAGCACAAAACTAATTAAGGTCTCTTCTAAGGCTGTAAAGTGTACCTTGCTAGCCCGTAATTGAAGGTACCTTTGTATCCTGATGCCGTTGAACTTAAAGAATTATGTTAATGAATAGATTCAAGTGCTCACTGTAAGATAAACACCTGCTTTTTGATATACACTGGGCCTAAGAATTACTTTGAGCATTATTGTGTGATCAAGCCTAAGTCTAGGCATCTTATTTTCTTGGGGTGGTCAGAAAGTTGAAAGCAAAATAGTTTCTTGACATGTCCCAAGAAAGGACTTCCTAATAGACTGGGACAGAGGTAACAGTTGGGTGGTGAGAGTATTGAGTTTGGATTGACCCGAGTAAGTGGAGGTCTCTGTTTGTGTATCCTTTTGCAGTTGGTTTGGCTTTTAGGTGACTTTAGTAAAGCCAGCAGGTGAGTGCACTGATTTGAAGCTGAGTCTGAGCGTGTCCTGGAAGACAGTATTCATAGGAGCTGAAGGGCTCTTGACTGAACACAGAGACTTAGGGCTAGGCAGCGTTATTTACTTTTTCCGTCTCTGGTTTTGACCGGCTTCCACTCCAGAAATGGTTTTTATGGATTGCAGCATATTAAAATCCTTCCGAGAGTGATTTTTGTTATCGATATTTACTTCCCAGGACTTCTACTTTTAAGACAATGAACAATCACTTTTTAAACCTCTGGGAAGATAAAGGTTCTGTTTTGATTCTGGTCTCCATTTAGGGAGTGGGGGTTCTGTAATAGCTAAAAAAAATTAAGGAACCAATACTAAATAGCACTGGGGTGAAAGGCTGTGATGGTATCTTAATGACTCTTCCTCACATGGCTTTTTCCTTTTTAAACAAAGGTATGAGGGTGCTGGTAGATGCCCGAGAGAAGCTTCATATTCCCTGGGGAGATAACAAAAACCAGCTCCATGGCGACAAGTTGATGGCATTTGATACCCGTGCCCCCATGGCTGCCCAGGGGATGGTGGAGACTCGAGTTTTTTTGCAGTATCTTCCTGCTATAAAAGCCTTGTGGGACGACAGTGGTATACAGAATGCCTACGACCGGCGCCGGGAATTCCAACTGGTAAGACATTCTCTTCTCTGAAATGCTTTATGTATTTGTTTTTCTTCCTTTGTTGAGTTTTTATGTATGTGTGTTTGGGGGCATCTCCATGCCATAGCATATATGCGGATGTCAGAGGACCACCTGTGGGTGTTGGTTATCCTGTAGCGTGTGAGTTATGGGCATAAAACTCAGGCCCTCAGGCTTGGTGGCAAGTGCCTTTACCTGCTGAGCCACCCTAGCTCTGAAGGGTGCCTTTGCTAAAAGACTTTTGGTAATGTCTGGTTTCACACACTCTTACAGACTTCCACAGTGTAATCTATTCATTCAAAAATGTAGCCTCTGATACTTGGTTTGCTGTGTGTCCCTTTCACTAAGCAAGACTAAAAAATAAGGTCAACCCTATAGATTTAATGAAGCTATTTCACTGATTAGAAAGTAAGGTCGTAATGACTTTCTGATGACCTCTTTCTTTTTAGAGTAAGTCCAGTGAGTGAGTCTGGTTGTTCACATGTGCTTGTTAGCCTCTGAAGCACTTATTTTATGACAGAGATGAGTTTGATAGGGAGAGATTAGAACCTTTTTTTCCTCCTTGTTTTGTAGACCAGGCTGGCCTTAAACTTGCAGTGACCCTCATTTCTCTGCCTCCTAAGTGCTAGGATTACAGGCTCAAGTCCCTGTGCCCAGAGAGACTAAACTCTTTAACAGTAAATACTCTATAAAATATTTTATAAGAAACGAAATACTGTTTTTGTACTCTTGTTTCACATAGGAAATAATTTCTATTTGTTTTGCCTCCTTTATCCTAAAAGAGATTATAGAGTACTTCATAGCTCTTGGGCACCGTTGAAGGGTAAGAAAGAAGGATCTAATCCAAGGTAGAGTTACAACATGTGTGGGGCTTGGGGCTGGTGCTATACCCTAAGCTCCTTTTAAGCCAGAAGCAGAAGAATCTCAAGTCCTGGGCCAGCCTGGGTGACACAGCAAGGCCCCGACTTAAAAAACAAAGACACAAAACCAAGAATTGAGACGGCATTTTTAACCAAACGTTTCATAATTTAATTGTGAGCACTTTGATTGTATTTGGCTCTATTTGCCAAATTCCAGAAAGGGTCCATCAGCAGTAGCAATGTAGCCAGGGTACGGTGTAGAGATAGTTCAGATCTGAAGTGCTTTCCTGCAATATAATTAAAGTGACAGTTAAAAGTAAAACTCCTTAGGAAATTGTTTGATGATGTCACTAGCATTCAAGTGGGTGTGTCTAGACAAGGATGTACAGCTACCATTCTTCCTTGGTACAGTCTATGGTCAGTAACAGTCTAGACTGTTCTAGAAAAGTTACAAGAAAGGTTTATGCTGTGTTTTTATCCTTAAGGCTTATATCCTTAGTGTATCGTATGTTATGTGTTATGTGCTGGCTAGTACAGTTTATGCATGTATGCACTGTTTCAGATTTCTGTGTTGAGCATCTGGCAGCATTATGTATTGCAAAGGGTAAATTTAACTTGACAGATGACATTCATCCAGTCACCAGATTCCTGGTTGCCTTTGACCTTTGGTCCCTTTGTCACTTTATTTTCTGTAGACTTGCTGGCACTCCACATACATAACCCTTCTCACCCCTCTCTTCTGCCACCCTCCTGTTTAAGGGCAGCTTATTATTATCTTTCTTAGTTTATTTTCTCAACAGATACACTTTCCACTGTTTTCTCAGATGTTTATCTTCCCAAGGCCAGAAAAAAAAAAAAACAGCCAACTACACAGTAAGCAGGCAGTACACCCTGAATGAATAAACGAACAACAGTGTATCTGAGAGTTCCCTGTGGGAAAGAAACTTCTCCATTTGTCCTAGGCTCATCTAACTGAAGTTGGGTGCCACTGGCAGTTTTTGAATATCTTATTCTCGTATCAGGGTCTTTGTCACTGTTAAGAAAGGTGAATTATGTATTTTATTTAACTAAGCAAACAAAACCACTCAGGATGAAGATGTGTGTATTCTCAAGTCGAACCAGCTAATGTTTCAATGGAAGAATGCTATCAATGACAGGGAAAGATGGGTTCTAGAAATTATTTATTTTTTCCTGATAAAAAGTAGAGGCACAAAAAGAGAGAATACGCCGGGCATTCATGGTGCACGCCTTTAATTCCAGCACTCGGGAGGCAGAGGCAGGCAGAGGCAGGCAGATGGATTTCTGTGAGAGAGAGAGAGAGAGAGAGAGAGAGAGAGAGAGAGAGAGAGAGAGAGAGAGAGAGAGAGAGAGAGAGACAAACAGAGACAGACAGAGACAGACAGAGAGAGACAGACAGAGAGAGACAGACAGAGACAGACAGACAGAGAGAGAGACAGAGACAGAGAGAATAAAGTGAGATCTGCTGGTATCTGGAAGCAAGGATTTCTCTACCCTTGTAGAGTTGAGTGTATTTTCAGTGCTATCTGGCCCATGATTGGCACTTGATTGGCTGGGCATGTTGCTTATTTAAACTCTTTCCCAGAGTCACTGTGGGCGCCTTACCCACATACAACCTATCACCAGGTGCTGTCTTTTCTCTGTAACTTTTGGTGCCCTTGTCCCCTTCTTTTTTTCTGCATTGTTTGTTGTCCTCTTAGACCCCAGAGTGATCTTGTTGAAACAGCATAAGTTTACTCAGAGATGGTTTCCTCTGCCTTTAGAACATACCCCTTGTTGTGGGTAAAGGCTCCAGCTGGCTTACCTGTGACTTCAAGGATATAATTGATAAGGCAGCTGGACATAGCCTATAACCTCTTAATTCCCATGTGTTCCCTAGCTCTCTTTATGTAGTTTTTCTGCCAGGGTTTTTCTGGGCCATGTGTGTTCATTAGCTCTCCCTTCATTCGGAGCAATGGTATAGTCAAATTTTAAATGTTAGCTTTTTTTTTTTTTTATTATTTTGTGTGCTTTGCCTGCATATATGCTCGGTGCCTGAGGAGGTCAGAATAGGACATTGGATCTTTAGATCCAGGGTTCGGCATGATTGTGAGCCTCCACCCTTGGGCTGCAACGTGCACGCCCCTCCTCAACGAATGACTAGATAAAGAAGTATCTTCAAAAGGGTTTCCTTTCACCCAGGGGTTGATTATATTCAACTTCTTACTGCACATTGAAATGAGAAAAGTTGCTGACCTGTTTAGCCACCCTTTTTGTTTAAGCTGAGTGAGTGCCCCTGGGTTTTCAGACAAGGGATTGAGGGTCGGGATGCAGTATATTAGTTGCAATTTTGGGTGCTGATAGGATTTTTCTCAAAATTCTCAGGTCAAACCTTTCCTTTCCTGGTTAGTTTCCGTCGTGGGTAAACTAGACAGCTTACGTGGAAGAGAACAATCTCAGCATCACATAAATGGTGTCCGATGTCAGGTGCTTTCCCAGTTGTGAGGGTAGTGTGTTGGAAGAAGCTCTCTTAGCTGCTTACACCATGGCTGTCAGTTCATGGTCGCCCACCACTGTGCCTGTGGCACACACATCTTGTCCTTTAAGAAGCTTCTATGATGACAGTGGCTAGGACATTTGGTGATATGCATGACTGCCTCGGTGAGGCTGGCTGGGTGGAGGACTGGCTGGACATGGGAGGGCTGGCAGTCTAGTCAGACTAACAGAATGCCTGGGAGCCACCGCCTACTAGTCTCTTAGTTCAATTTACAGTTACAGTTAAGCAGCATAAGCAACCCTGGCCACAGAGGACAGGACAGGGTGTGTGACAGCAGGAGGAACAGGGGACAGCTTCCTAGTTTCTGTAAACTGTTTAACTTTGTCAGCATTAACACAGCTTCCTGTGGATGGCCAGTCTGCCTTTGCAGCTCTTGAAAGCAAAACTACTCTTTTCTTGTTAATCATCATTGTCCCTTCGGCGGGACTTGGCTTTTCTTGCTTAGATGGTGTGCTTGATGATAGCTTTGTTTCTCTAAGCTGATACGGCTGTTGGTGGAGGCAGATTCTCCTGCAGTCTATGTCAAAGTAACTATTTTGCTTCGTGAGTAGTCGGTAAAAAGGAGCTGAGTGTCAACTAAGTAAAACTAGGAACTTCTGTTGTGGTAAAATACTTTCGTTTGCCCTGCAGCACATATTGGAAATAGAATACAATATGAGTCTTTTGTTTATTCTTTAACACAAATTTGAGTTTGCTTTAAAGGGTGATTGAGGCCAGGCTGAAGCAGGAGGATCTTGAGTTGGAAATCAGAGAGTTCAAGGGTTCTATTGGAGACCCTGGACAGAGCCAGAGACTCCAGGGGATGCCTGGGCACTTACACTTTAAATGGTAGTACAGGGCCTTTGGTATCACTTCTGACAGAAAACAAAGTTACTGGTAACTAATTGGTGCTGCTGCTAATATGTTTATTCAATTGGAAAGCAATGGAACAATGAAGTAGTCTCCCTATGACTAGTTTAGTTATGATTGATTGGGTTTTAGTTTCAGAATTCTGCTTCATGTGTGAACCTAATCCAGGACAAAAGTTTATGAGCTCACTTTAAAAAAAACATCAGCCCAAGCACTTCCTGGATGGACTGTTCCCATTCTCTCTTTACAAATAGGATGCAGCTTGAACAAGCTGTGTGTGTGGGGGGTCTATTATTTTTCTAGAGAGTTAATTTAATTGATAGCGCTGATAACTATAATCCCTGTTTAGAACCTCGAGGTTTGGGACAGTTGCTTGGTGCTTTTCAAATCACTGTTGAATATAATGTTATCCCCTAATTCTTCAACAACAAACAGTGACGAGATACTTGCTGTTGTTCTCAGCTCATAGATGGAAAAGAATGAGGCCTGGGCACAGGTTCCTTGATGCTAGGTTCCCAGACCTAGTAAGTGGCAGTAGACTTGAAGTGGGAGTCCTGTCTGCTCACCCCTGGTCCATCACTCCTTGCCCTGCCACTGAGCCCTTCTGCAGGCACTCAAGCATTATGTCCCTGGAACAGTTGTCTTTCTTCTCATTTCCAGCCTGTTTGGATCCCTTTCCCCCAATAACCAGCAGACCACTATTGCGTCTGTGGAAGGTTCCATTAATG